ACACTGCTTGCCATTTTTTACATTATTTTCTGTTACTTTTTAAAGAGGGAAAACACTCTTTTTAAAGATGGAAAAACTAACTAGTAGCATTGGTAGTAACTCGTTGCTAAAAGGGAACTTGTAACTTTAAAGTTCTTGTCTGTCTGCTTTTTCAGCAATGAAGTTTTTAAAATCACAGGTACTTTTTATCAGATTTATGGAGAAATCTGTGAATTTTGACATTTACATTTTGAATTTTGGATAATTCTTATTTAAAAACTCCCACAAATAGAACAAAATTTCTCTCTCATCCCAAGGATATAACATGCATGACAGTGGATGGCAAAGAAATGTTCTTGAGAAAGAGTGACAAATCCAATGAGAACATAACATTCTCAACATTGCAGTAGATGGATTTGAAATTTCTGGCTGATGTTAGGGGGGGGGGGATGCAGATGGGTGGCCCTGGGCCGCCCTGGGAAGCAGAGGATCAGGGCTGCTGCTAACACATGCAGTGGCCCCAATTCTCCCATTTGCTGGCCCGGAAAAGAGTGGCAAAATGCCACTCCTTTCAGAGCTGGCAAAAGGGCGCCCTAAGAGCTGCCACATGGCTCTTTAGCACCCCTTCTGGCACAGCACATCAGGACACTGCACCAGAAAGACATCTTGACATCGCACACCATGTGTAACAGTGCACACCGTCATGACGTCCTCGGTGTGGGGTTGGGGCACCCAGCGTGCGGCTGCCCCTCCCCATCCCTGCTTCCAGGCCAGCCCTTTGGGCCAGTCTATAGAGGCCCTTTGACTCTAAGTAGTGTAATTAATCTGGAACAGAAGAATACCACAGATGTTTAAAATTATTTTTCTACTGACTCAGTATGCTGTACATTTACAAACTGAAGGCTGTGGGTTAATAGCCCACAAGTTTCATTGCCCAGAAGGGCTGTGATCCAAACTTTGTATTCTACACCAGGCAACATACACTTGAAGTCAGACTGGTTCCAAAATTCTAACTGTAAAAATGATTTAAGAAAAATAAAGTGTCTGTCTGGTTTGATGTTATTTTGCACACTCCTATGATTGGTTCCTTCACATGGAAACCAAACACAGGGCCTTTGCAGACTGCCAGAAATAGTGCAAATTGAGTCCACTTTAAGGGTTAGGGTTACTGCTAGAGAATCATGGGAACTGTTTTTTTTTCTGAGACATTGAGCCTTCTCTGTCTGAGAGCTGGTGCCACAATAAAATACAGTTCCTATGATTCCCTAACCCTAACCCTAACCCTTAAAGTGGACTCAATTTGCACTATTTCTAGCAGTCTGCAAAGGCCCACAGTGAGGAAAAAATATCTCTGTATAAAAAAAGGAGACTGTAAAGGAGACAAATTGATGCTTGGTTTTGTTGTTCTTTTTGGTGGTTCTTTTTTAAATTGGGAGGGGCTGTATATAAGCAACCAACTTATAATTTGCAAAGAGGCAAAGCTGTAACACTGCCAGAGCATCTGAGGAAGCAGACCAAGGGATTGCAGACTGCCAGAAATAGTGCAAATTAAGTCCACTTTAAGGGCTAGGGAATCATGGGAACTATATTTTATTGTGGCACCAGAGCTCTCTGACAGAGAAGGCTTAATGTCTCAGAAAAAAAACCAATTCCCATGATTCCCTAGCACTAACCCTAACCCTAAAAGTGGACTCAATTTGCACTATTTCTGGCAGTCTGCAACCCCCCTAAGTCTACAAAAGCTTATGCTACAACTTCTTTCACTCAAAGGGACTACAAGAACCTTTTGCATACTGTCAGAGCATTGATCACTGTTGCTAAAATAAAAGGAATTATATACTACTAACAACCTTATCACATGAGAAAAGAAAGCCAAAACTTCACTATAATTATGCATACATAATGCTCATAACTGTTCATCTTCTCTCTCCTTAACTACAGTTTAAGTATTATGTTGGGATGCAGTTAAAGCTCACTAGCCCTGGCTTTAAATCTTCACGGTGTTAACTATTCTTCATGTTGCTGAATTGCCATTTGGGCCATTGTGAGACACTTGTGTTCCCAGCCAGCTTGGTGCAGTGGTTTGAGTGTTGAACTAGAACACTGGGAGACCATAGTTCGAATCCCAGTTCAGCCACGGAAACCCATGTGAGGAATGAATGAATTTTGTTTTAGTGGCACCAATGGACTAAAAAAGAATATGAGCAAAAGAAGATGGAGAATCACAATGCATGATATGGGAAGTTCCTGGGAGAATTCCTGGCAAGCAGGATGAGAATTTTAAAACTGCTGATGTTGGCTTTTCCTAGCAAGGATGCAGTTGCCTGTGTTATCTATGGGAGAACAGGTCATTCAGAAGGTTCGGGTAGCAAGCAAGAAGATAAAAAGATGTTTGTATTAAGACTGATAATACTTGGAGTGTTTTCTGTATCAACGGAAAAGGACCAGAAAGGGCTGGTTTGAAAGTTTGTGGACAGAAGCCAAAAGGGTGGAGGTTGCCCAACATTATGCAAAGACTTTAAAAGATGAGATTTTCCCAATCAGCAGTGTGTTCCTGTTCCAGTAGCAGGACTCGCAACCCTTCAGGGTTGAACTGATCCACCATCCAGCAAAGGGCCCATGTTTTGCAAGTCTATTGTATGAATGGGTGTGTGGTTGAGAGCTCTTGATACTTAAAATGGTTATCTTATTTGTTATTTCCTATTTCTTAATGTCTTATTTCTTATTTGTTGTGTTTTAATAAATGTTATATGCATAGTGTCTAAGCCCAGATCTGGTTTCCTACGTGTCTTTGTTGGAAATAGTCTAGGGTGGCTAAATTTCTCTCTGGATCAAAAGAACAACAGAGAACCTCAGTTCATGACACCCACCGGGTGACCTTGGGCAAGTCACACTCTCTCAGCCTCAGAGGATGGCAATAAAACCTCATGATTGGTTTACTGCCTGAGGGTCACCATAAGTCAGAAATGACTTGAAGGCACACAACAACAACAAAAACAAAACAATTATTTTACTACTGAGTCAGTATCTTGTATATTCTCAAAATGAAGGCTGTGAGTTAATAGCCCATAAGGTTTACACAACACACAACCAGTGGCGTTTGAGCATTAGACTGTGACAAACCCTGTGATATTTTTGCCTTAAGGTCGCTATAAGTCAGACTTGAAGGCACACAACAGCAAACCAAATTTCATATGCAAATGAAACCAGAGCAAGTTCAGTTTACTCCTGAGTAACATGGGATGTAACATCTACAGCATGTTAAAACAAAGTCCTCTCAATAATCATTCCAAGACAAAGAAGTATAATTTTATTGTATTTTTTTATCAAAATGGGGAGCTGTTTCATGTTTCTGTAATTGTTGTTGTCTTGCTCCTTCTTCCTTTGGAATTAAAAACATTCCTTGTCCTAATGAGCATAAAGCTTTAGCATTGCATTATATCACCTTTCAGTGCCTATCTGCATAGTTTGAATTCAAGTTAAAATACATGTTTCCAAAAATAGTTTGGACTTAAAAATAGTCCCAGCTTTGTGTTAGATAATTGAGAACCTAGATCTGTTTGATCATTAGCTCAGCAGTTTCTGCTTGTTACTCCCAAATGTGGATTTAGTAACTTTAATGTGATCACGGGTACACAGTTTGTGCAATTAGTGTAGGTTCTTTTCTCTTTCATTTTGCTTTCTAAACTTCTTTTAAGCTCTTCAAGTCTTGTTTCCCAAAGCTCATATTGTACCTTTGAGATCTTCCTGGGAACATCACCCACTGAAGAAAGATCATGGCCTTCTCCCAACTCCTACATACTTATACACCATAGACCACAATATTTCTTCATCAGTCAGTTACTTTGATACTTATTTTTAATTATTTTAATGCTTTTACATCTTAAAATAAATTTATGCCTTCTAACAAATGTAAATAAACTATGCCATTTATCTAGCTGGGTTTCAATTCTGTAAATTTCTGTAATTCTAAAAGTTAATTCCATTAAATTTTGGCAGATATTCAAGATTGTTCTGGTTTTGTATTAAATCAGGGAGGGGCATCATGGGGCTAGTCCACTGTGATAATTACCATCCCAGGTCATTAGCCATGCTGTCTGAGGGGGGAAGCAGACTGGCGGCAAGGGGGCCACACTGGGAAGGTGCGCCGTAGGATTGAGGCATCCCCATGCCTCGATCCTGCGGCACTCCTTCCCCATCCCTGAAAGGAGTGCTAAAATAGCACTCCTTTCACAAGTCAGTGAAAGTGTGCCTCAAAAGCGTGAGGCACACTTTCGCTGACTTATCCACCGCAGCGTGTCAGGACTCTGCGGCGGGAGATTGCCCCCGGAGCTCTGGCTGTGCGGAGGGCTGGCGGCTCCGAGGGCAACCTCGGGAGGAGGAAGGGGCGCCGAGCGTGCAGCTGCCCCTCCTCTTCCCTGCCTCGAGGACGGCTTAATAAGCCGTCTGCTGAGGCACTGAGTCTGATGGGAGCTGAAATCCAACAACCTCTGTAAGGCCACAGATTCCTTACTTCAGTGTTACATTTTCAACAAGCCTATAGCGTTCATGGATTTAAGATGCCCTCTGTCATGTTCCCATCAACCATGCTTGTGATATTACCATTTTTTCTCATCAGGTTTCTATACTGTGGAGATAATGATGACCGAGTTGGTGGTGAGAATGGTGATGGCAACTTGTTTGCCTTTACTCCTAGTGGTAGAAAACTTACAGTCCCCAGATGTAGTCGAAAGTAGTGCAAGTTCCAACCATAAATTCTGTATCTAGAGGTGAGGAGTGAAGGGTGAAGCTTCACTTCAGCAACAGCTGGTACATCACATATTTCCAATCCTGTCATAACCCCTGAAAGACTGAAATAGTGTATGTAAAATGTTTAGATCATGCCATGTGATATAAAGGCAAAGTATTTTCTTAAATACCTTTGCGCATAGATGTTTGTGTGTGTTGGTATCTTAGTATGTAAGTGAACTGCTGGTTGTTTCTATCCATATGTATTTGGGAAAAAGCATATATGTGTTAGAGCCAGTGTGACGTAGTGGTTTGAGTGTTGGGTTACAATTCTGGAGACCAGGGTTCAAATCCCTACTCACCCATGGAAACCCACTGGGTGACCCTGGGCAAGTCACAGTCTCTCAGCCTCAGACCCCTCTGCACAAACCTTGCCAAGAAAATCCTGTGATAAATTCACCTTAGTGTCATTATATGTCAGAAATGAATTGAAGGCACATACCAACAATATAAGTATACTGATTCAAGAGGCAGAGGCATCAAAATAGACATCTTAAATCCCTAAATTCTATAGGCTTGTTGAAAATGTAATAATGAAGTGAGGAATTTGTGGCCTTACAGATGTTGTTGGATTTCAGCTTCCTTTAGACCCAGACAGCATGGCTAATGATCAGGGATGGTAACCTGCATAAACAAGGGGTGTGAAATTGAATCTGGGAGCTTGTGGGATCAGAATTCTAAAATACAGTTTTGCAGTCCTAAGGACTGCTGATGTTGAGAGTGGCCCCTAGACTCTAGAACTCCCTTCTAAGGTAGGCCACAATGGCCCCTCCCTTATCTTTCAATTGGTAGGCAAACCACTTTTTATTCTGATGGGCTTTTAAAAGAGAAAGTTTTCATAGAATGGGCTATTCTATGAAATGGGGTATTGTATATTGTAAACTCGTAAGCTTTCATGGCTGGCATCCATAGGTTTTTGTGGGTTTTTCGGGCTGTGTGGCTATATTCTGGAAGAGTTTCTTTCTGATTTTTCACCAGCATGACCCTGGGTAGGGAGGCATGATTCCCATGTAAACTTTGTATTGTTCTGTTGTTGATTGTGTATTGTTCTGTTGTTGATGGCAGGGCCTCAGGGTGGGAGGATATGCAAAAGAGGATTATTGTCTGCTAATTGGTGATTGGAGCAAAACAGAAACAGGATAGCAGAATTGAGAGAGATGTAGCTGTGTTAGTCTGGAATATCAGTATGCAAAGATATCTTGCAGCACTTTTGAGACTAAAGAGATTATTGCACCCCAAATCTATGCTGGAATCAATGCAGGTTTTAACCATTGCTGACAGATCTTATCACGCTGCCCTGTGCCCAGGCAGTAGGCAAATCTGGGCTTTTCCTGTAGATTTTAAAGAACTGAATTTTCCTGTTTGTGAAAAGCTGCCAGAGAAGCCAGGATTGGATATGGACTGCCTACTGCCCATGCACAGTGAAGTGTAATAAGATCCATGAGTGGTGGTTACAACCTATGTCGATCCCAGTGCAGGTTCGGCATGCGATAATCTCCTAACCGTGTAAAAAAATTTGTAGCATAACCTTTTGTAGATTAAGGGGTTATTCAGATGGTGAAAATAATCCAGGATGAATGCATGTTGAACCACCCACTGTTCACATGCATCCTGAATGGATGCAATTATGGTTATTTTTTGGGGGGGTGTCTGGGAAAGCAGCCAAATGCTGATAGCCACAGTTTTTAAAAAATAAACTAGAAGGGGTTGCAGACTGCCAGAAATAGTGCAAATTGAGTCCACTTTTAGGGTTAGGGTTAGTGCTAGGGAATCATGGAAATTGTTTTTTCCCCCCTTTTCTGAGACATTGAGCCTTCTCTGTCAGAGAGCTCTGGTGCCACAATAAACTACAGTTCCCATGATACCCTAACCCTAACCCTAAAAGTGGACTCAATTTGCACTATTTCTGGCATTCTGCAACCCTCCAAAGAAACTGCTCACGGAGCTTGTGAAGTTTAAAGCAAAGCAAAGTCCTGTACCAAGAGTCCGTAATAACAAGCCAAGAGCTCAAACCAAGAGTGTAGTCAAGAAGTCCAAGGTCAAAGGTTCCAGAGGAGCAAGATGATCAGGTAGTCCAAGAGTCAAAGGTCCAAGCCAAGAAGACAAAGCAAGGTCAGGAACAAGCGTGCTTTCACCAGCAAACTCAGACAGTCTCTGACAACCAGTCTGGCATCCTTGCCATGTTTATATAATTAACCCTCATTAGCTCATCTGTTTTGAGATTAGCTGGTATTTCTCATAAACTAGCTCTTCTCTGGTTAAAGGTAGGTTTGTTGGTCTCCTCCTCTTCTTTGTCTCCCATGCCTGAAGACTCCCATGTCTCCCATGCCTGTAGGCCTGGCTGTTAGTCTCCTCTGAGGCAACAGATTCTACTGAGCTCTCAGGGGAGAACTAGGGCCAGGATCAGGTTCAAACTGAGGCTCCAGTTCAACCTTCAAGTCCTCCCCTGAGTCCTAGGCCAGGCTAGGCATGACAGGAGGGCTGCCAAAAAACCCACTGAATTCAGGAGATGATACCATTTTTTTCGGAGTTTTTCTAAGCATTGTGAATAACCAATGCAAATTGACCTGGGATTAAACTCTGCATGTCTTGAATGTGTTTTGAATACATTCACATCATTGACTCCATGTTTATTAGAGTTCTGGCACATGTAAGCAACTGAACTCTCAGAGATGCATGAAGATGCAGTTTCATAGTGTGAATAACAAACTGGAATGTGTGAGTGAAGTTATTCGCATTGTTCTGCTTAAAAAAAAAAAGATGTCTGAACATCCTCTATGTCTACTTCAGGTGCATGGCGACATCTGTGGAACTAGACCTAATCTATGAAAGCTTTTGCTATAACTTCTTTCACACAATTAGTCTCAAAGGTGCTACAAAATCACTTTGCCTACAGAAGAACTGTAGCAATTGATTTTTACAGATGAAAATCATATTTCTTTTATAGTGACCATAAAGATTTCTTAAAATGGAGGAGAATTAATTTAGAATTTTATAGAATGAAAAATTTGATATAATAAATGGAAATTCTCAAAAGAATACATCACAAATGTTAAGTTTTGTTATTTGTAAGTACTGTAAACATCATTATTCTAGGTACTAGTGAGATTTAGAGTGAGAGGTGGAATCTGGTCTTGTATTTCGTGCTGAATGGAACCTCCCCATTGAGGTCTTTTGTGAATAACATGTTGCCCTTTTAGTTTGCTAGTTTCATCTGTTGTGTTATGCTTGTTCTCTTAATAATTGTACAGGATGGCTTATATTAAATAACTACAGAACAGTTATGCTTTTTAAAATAATTTTACAGGATGGTTTTATTCTTGTTATGACCTGGGACAGAGGTACTTGAAATGATACATTGGACTATTCCATTGCTGAATCCACCCTGGCTTGTCTTCTTGTGAACTTTGTAAAGTGTGGTCCAGAAGACCACAGCTCTCAACTTCAGCAGTCCTTGTGACTGCAAAACTATATTTTAGAATTTTGAGATGATCCCACAATCTCCCAACTTTGATTTCAGGCAGCTTCCTATGGATACACATAACACCCCGAAGCTACTAAAAGGATAACATCTTGTTCAATAAATACCAGAATGAGGAGGTTCCCTCCAGCACAAAATACAAAACCAGACTCTATCTCTCTACTTTTCACTCTGTACCTCACTTGGCTGCACTGAGAGTGTTGCTTCTGGCTGTCATTATGGCTGATTTTTTCTGTGGGGGGGAGAGGGGTTTGGGCATCTGTGAGGGGTTTGGGGAAGCTAAGAACAACATTTGTATGAAGTTAGAGGGGGGACTTTTGGATGAGTGTCGGATGAAAGATAAATGAAAAATCAGTTCCCAACACGGAAGTCTCAAAGCCCATGTGGTCCTCAATTCACACTTAACCTACCCCTGTTTTAAGTGAACATGCAGAGGATTGTATTGCAAAAGTAGTAATATAACAACAATACTCAACCCATTCAACAGGTTCCCAACTGTGGTGGGATATAAAATAAGTAAATAAATAAAATTATTAATGAGACAAATTTTATATGTAAAGTAATTAGTTAGCCATACACATTCACCACTATGAACTGGGAGGATTGACCCCATCTCATCAGAAGATTTGGTTAATAATGTTCTAATAGTAGAAAGAATCACACTAGTAGTATCACTGAACCCACAGACCTCCAACAGAAGTGATGAAAAGACAGGACTTTAGAATATCCAAATGGTATACCTCATTTCGCAGTGAATTAATAGATAAATATTGCTATCCAAAGAGTACCCTTTCCTCATTAAGACTGTTAAATCCTGAGCCTAAAATTACCACAGTGGTTGAGACAAAAATGCATTTAGTCTTTAATGTCTCCTATAATACAGACTTGAAAAAGTTAGTTCTTCGTATCTGAACTTCCATATCCCCTCAGCTTTTCTAAGCTTTGCTGCATTATCTGCTGCTGAGACAGAATGTGTCTTCATTTTAAATTTTTTCCCCTGTTCAGATTTCATTATTTATTTTTGGAAGTCTTTCTAGGTGATTAAACTAATACAGTGAAAAAGAATGAGAGGGCCCTGGGATGATCGTCTCAGTAGCGTAAACTATTCACTGTATAAAGTTAAAACTGGGGATTCACTAAATTAAAAACCTATTTTTAAACTCTATTTTCTATGTGAATGCCAAGTCTTCTGTAATTAATATGAAAATGTGACCATACTCTTGTTTGAGTTACATTGTGCCAACTGCATACTCAGATTTTTCCGAAAGACAATGAATACTGCTTAAGCTACCAGTGCCATGCCATGAAAGATGTTTAAAATGCTTTCATTGTGGCAAGCCAGTTGCATTCAGAACTCTGATACTTTACACAAAAACTCAGGAAATTTATCATGTAAATTCTGGTAACTTTCCAAGGATTTATTTATTTATTGGGTTTATATCCCGCCTTTCTCCTCAAATGGGATGCATACAGAGTTTTGCATCATATAGATAGAAGATGTTTGGAAACATAAAAATGATTTTATTTCTTTACCAATTTGCATTTTCTCCCATTTTACTGCTCCCCTCAGTTAAAAGAGAAAAGGAAGCAAACAAACAGATTGCTGAAATCTTAACCTCTGAACTAAAAATTCTTATTCAGAAACAGTTCTGGCTTCCATCTTCTGAATGGTGGCAGCTTTCTTATATGCCTTTCCTATTTCTTCAGGAAGAGAAGTAGACACTCTGTCCTACAATCTCAAAGGGATCTATTATATAGAATTATGATCTATTGCCCTCCTTGCACCACAGAGACTCACCACAGTTGCTGTTGAATTTTGGTAAC